CATACCTACCTTACATTAAGGCAAATGCCTGATTTTGCAAAAAGCCTCCACTGTCTCCATAGAAGAGATTTATGAATTTGAGAATTTGGACTGAAAGTATTTTTCTAAAGAAATAATCTAAAATATTCTTGTGTATTATGCCATTATTTGCACTTTGCCTACCTGAGAGATAGAATCCTTCCTCACACGAGTCACACCCATCCTTGTCACAGCTATCACAGTTGCTAGGGCAATCTCTACACTGCCAAGAACTTTCATCTCTGTAGGTATTTTCTGGACAGTATTTATAGCAATGCTGCTTATACCTGTAAGATAAAGTTGTACATCATTAGTAAGTTTCTTTTAAAGGTCATTGAGTTTGTTTTCTGTCTGTTTCTGGGAATGGTAATGATAAAGCATGATTAGCATAATGAACAGAAATTATTCCTATAATGAGTCTTTAAAGTGTACTTGTGGTTATGTTGTTTATTCAGCTAGCAAAGTCATGTTTCCTAAACTCAGGATTCTTTAGTGTGATTAATTTTATTTTATTTTTCAAAGGTAGGCAGAAAGCTGAATACATGCTTCATTAAAAATTATTACATCATGATTGTAAAGAGCTGATTGCTTGTAAAAACATATAATCAAGTGCCTTTGTTTATAGAGTCAACATAACCAATATTTTATCTTCCAATTTTTCAGACATCTATAAATGCTGTCTTTGAAAAACAGTAATGTTCTTTTCTCTCCATTTAAGTTTTAAATTATTTTTAAATTCATTTGCATAAACTCCATAAATTTATAAGTCTTATGAACTTCACATGCCAGAACTAGACACAACATACTAAAAGCAAATTTGTTCCAAGTCCATATGCACTGTTTAACTTTCTGACATTTTTTGTTCCATATTCCTCTCTTCTGATATGTGAAGGTTCCACCTGTCCATAAGTTTTAACAGGTCTCAATACCAAATAACTAGCTATTCTTCTGACATTTCCAAAGTCTTTTTCCCATTTATTGTTTCTCACACAAGCAATTTAAAGCATGAGACAACATACACAGCACAGATATATGTAGTAAACTGCATATTTTTGCTTCAGAAAAATGTGTAGTCATGAAGAGCTATATATATACAGCTATACTTACATGTAATAATTTTGAGTGCATGTTATACAGATTCTTGGATCATCTGAAATTAAAGATATGAAATTATGTAAATAATTTACAGAATTTCAAAAACCAGAATGTCAAAAAGAACTTTTTTTACACCAATTTTATGTTAATATTTCTTACCCTAAATTATTACAGTTGTAAAAAGAACATTGTTGTCTCTGAATCTCTGTTCATATTAATTTTGACATGGAATCTTCCACAGATCCTGGACTGTATTTTCATAGTAACCTGTAGCTTTTTAGTCCTCTAGGACTCCAGTCCTCCTGGATTAGTGTAATCCAGGACCTGGTACCTGGAAGGAGCTAAGTCCTTAGGAAGTGATGATCTGAAAAGCAGAACCTTCACAGGGGCTCAGATTGGGTCAAATGAACTGTTAAAAAGAGACTGCAACTTACCTGAAACAATAATTTTGTCCTATTTCTTTATTTGTTGCAAAGGTAAGTTAAAAACTTTTGACACCTCTGAAAGCACACGAATCAGTTTAAATTTCAAAATCCTGAGCTAGACAAGACTGTTTCTATATTTGGAGAGGAGGTAATGGTGGAAGACGTGGTGGTAGTACAAGCCTCTTGAGTAAACTTTCCCACCAGAAAACTAATTTTTGTATTAAAAAAATTTGTTGAATCAACAGGAAAATGTTATGCAACTTTTAAAACTCTTAAAATTATGGATTTGATTCCAAAAGTGAAGAACATTTTTTACAAAATTCTTTCTATTATCATCTTCTATTCACTATTTCTTTCACCTTTTGCCAAATATCCCAGAAGCATCAGAATGGAAAGAAATGGAACAACCTGGGTGAATGTATTTTTAAAGACAATTACAGAATCATAGAATATTCTGAGTTGGAAGGGAGCCAGAAGGATCATTAAGTGCAGCTCCTGGCCCTGCAAAGCAGCATCCTCAAGAGTCACACCATGTGCCCAAGAGTGTTGTGCAAGCACTTCCTGAACTCTGTCAGGCTTGGTGCTTCCCTGGAGAGCCTGTTCCAGAGCCCATCCACCCTCCGGGTGAGAAACCTTTTTCTGCTATCAAACCTAAACCTTCCCTGACACAATTTCAGCTCATCATCTTGGGCTGTCACTGCTTTCTGGTCAGAGAGGAGAGAAGAGGTCAATGTCTGACCCTCCTCTTCTCCTCATGAAGAAGCTGTAGACTGTAGCCAGGTCTCCCCTCAGTCTGCTCTTCTTTAGCCTGAATAAAGCAAGTGACTCAGCTGATCCTCATAAAGCCTCCCTTTTAGATCCTTCACTATCCTTGTGGCCCTCCTTTGGATGCTCTCTCATAGCTTAATGTCTTTTATATAAAAAAGACATTAAGCTTGAGTACTGCACACAGTTGTCAAGGCGGGCTGCACCAGTGCAGAACTTTCCCTTGTTGAATTTCTCATGGTTGGTCATTGCTCAGTCATCTAATTTGTTGAGGTCTCTCTGTAGGACCTCCCTTTGGTGAATTCAACAGCTCTTCCCAGTTTTGTATCATCTACAAACTTGCTTAGGATCACTTCCAGTCCTGCATCCAGGTCCTTTATGACAATGTTGAAGAGCACAGGGTCAAGAATGCAGCTCTGTGGAACCCCACTGGTGACAGGGCACCAGTCTGATGTCACCCCATTCACTATCACCCTCATGCCTGACCTGTGAGCCAGTTGCTCACCCATGCCATGATGTGTTTATCCAGCTGTGTGCCGGAAGTTTTGTCCTGAAGAATATTATGAGAGACTATGCTCTTCATTTCTGGAATAGTTAAAGAGAGCACTACCTCATCTCCTGAATCTAGGAATCATGGAATCCATTAGTTTGGAAAAGATCTCTGAGATCAGTGAGTCCAACTTTTCACCAAACACCCTGTTAACACTAGATGCCATGTTCAGTCTTTCCACAAACACTTGCAGGGATGGTGACTCTACCACCACCTTGGGTAGTCCATTAGGTGTAACCACCATTTCTGTGATGAAATTCTTCCTCGTATCAAATCTAAACCTCCCCATGTGCAGACAAACCCACATCTTCTCATCCTGTTGCTAGCTGGCTGAGAGAAGAGGTTGACCTACACCTGGCTACACCCCCCTTTCATGCAGTTGTAGACAGTTCAGAAGTTCCCCGTGAACACCCTTTTCTCCAGGCTGAACAATTCCAGCTCTCTAGGTTCATGGGGTTGTTGTGGCCAAAGCATTCAGTCTTTCCAGCGTCCTGAAATCTCTTTTCATTAACCTTGAGCTTCTTGTTGAAATATCACTGGCACTCCTGTGAAAGCAATAGTAATCAGTATTTCAAAGGCTCTATTAACCCCTTCATTTTTTTGGTGAGGTCCCTGATTTCTGCCCCAAGGAGGCAGCAAACTTCCCTGCAAAGATCTGGTCTGCAGATGGTTTAGATTATATTTGTTTTAATGTGCATTTCCTTCAGTAATTCCAGCAGGAAGATTCAGCAGTTAACGTTTCTTGACTGTTTTGATTCATGAAGCTTCTGAACTGCAAATTGTTGAAGGAGTAGAAATACACACTTTGTTTGTATATGTAATTTTAGAAGCATGTTTGGTCAGTGGCTTCTGAGCTAGGTGAATTTTCTGGTCTGATCTGGTGTGATCTGAGTAGTTTTCTTCCATGCTCTTATTTCTATGGAGAATTTTAAACTAAAATCTGGAATATTCTGTACTTGCAGAACTCAAGGTTCAGTCTCATATCTTAAGCTTTTCCAGTGATTTTTCCCAGGTCTGGATTTTACACAGGAAATCTTTTTTTTTAATCAGAAAAAGAAAAAACTCAAAGAAAGAAAGTTTTTTCAATACATGCTCCTTGTATCTTCAGTGTGGCAGGAAATTCCCTTTTACCCACAACTCTAGGGAAGGCAACATGCGCCTATGTAATGTTCTGCATACACTGAAACGTCAGGACTGAAAAACAGAGCAGTTCCAAAACTTGCTGGGCATTTGTTTCTGCACAGATTGCATATTATCACTGCAGAAGCTTGTATAAAGAAGTCTTACTATTTGAAAATCTAAAACCTCTTCTGCAAGACTAACCTCTTGTGGAATATTTACTCTGAGATAAAAAGCTATCCTTATGATAATTTTGTCTTGAAAGCCAAGGTCTATTCATCATCAGGAATGGATTGAACAAATGAAGTTTTCCTTTCTCTTTCTTAGGTTGCTATGGGAACCAGAGCAGTTTTCACTCTTTTATCGTGTAATGATAAATCTGTATCTGTAAGCCTGAGTCTGTGGACAGTTCTGCTCTTTCAACTGCCTCACACATCCTTAAATCTTCTCCAAATTCTTTTCTTCCCATTCCCACAGCCTTATAAATTCTATGTTCCTCCATTCTGCTCTGTATAATGGATCTTGTTGATCATTTGTGTATTATTTATTCTCACTTTCAGCCTTTATAGCATTGTGTTCTTCACATAGACCTTGTAACCTCAACCAGATTGAATAGGTTCTGGATGACCTTTGAGAGTGGCTCAGGATTTACCTTGCTAGATCAAAGAGGCTAAATGCCACACTTGGGCCAAAATAACTCTTTGGCAGGCCTTTATTCTCAGGGACATGGCTCCTTGGGTTTTCTCATTAATTTCTTTTGTAAGCTATCTTTGAAAGAGAAGAGATTCACTCTGCACCTTTGAAAGAGAAGTGATTCACTCTGCACTTTACTGAGGAGTACTTTACTCTCAGTGTTAGCCTTTGAAAACAGTCCTAGTGCAAAGATTGCAAAGCCATGTTATGGTGCTCACTGGAGAAATTTGGATGGATCAAAAGTTGGTATATATTGTATTTTGCTGCATGGAGATGAGGTATTCTGTGGGAACCCTTAAGAACTATTCATAACATAAGATGTTTTACTTTCACAGGTTGGGTGAGGTGAGTGGAGGAGAACCCAGAAGTAATTAAGAAGTGGCTCAGGAAAGTGTGGCTCCTTGGGAGCACACTGTCAGGAAGATTGGCACAGCAAATTGAGAGGATGCCTGACTCACACAATCACTTCTGAGAGGAAGAGCCTCTTCCACTGATTCCTATGAGTTATCTGCATGAGCTCCATGTGCTGCAAATATTTACCTCCTCAGTGAACTAGGTGTGTCTTCTTACTTAGCGTTATTAGTTACTGGTGTGGCAATTTCTGCTTGTGAAATGTGTATATTCAAGCCAGTAGATATGGCATGTCAGAGAAGTTTGTTACTTTTCGCCTTCAAAGGTATACACATTTGGTGTCTAATCATTATGTAAGTGCAAAAGGGCATATGTATATTGCATGATTAGAGAGAGAGCTAAAGTTATTTGAGAAAACGCTTTAGTCCCCATGTTGTATTTTAGACATAAGAAATAAGAGCCGAGATTTTTATGTTCTTGCATTTTATTGACTCTGAAATTCTCTTTGAATAATTACTATAAGTGGCTCAGAATCTATGCTTTTACCTTATTTTTTTCTCTTGTTCTAGGTGTTGACTTATAGCAACAGGCTTTCTAAAAAGGAAATTTTGACTTTGAAGAAGATGTCTGACATTCATTATGGTTTTAATAGTCTGGAGAAAATCTGAATGCTATCCTGAAGTTATCTAAATATGTGAGTAAGTGAACTTATATTGAGAGGTGGAAGGTAAACGCTGCAATGGCATAAAGAAAATCTCTTCCTTAATATTTTTTGCTGCAGAATTTTGTCTTTCAAAAGCTGCTTTTGTTGAGGAAACTAGATTTAATTTTGTAGACTTCATGATGTTTACTGGCACCCACCAGAAAAAAAAAACATTAAAATTTAATCAAAACCTAATGGTCAAAGGTAATGAAGAGCTGCAGCTCCCATCTTTCTGCATCAGAGGGAGCAATCATTCATTGCTGCTCTGAAAAGTAGACTCAGCAGGTCCAAAATTGGGTTATAAGAGCTGAGGTACCAAAGGCATAAGGTATCATAAAGACAGTCTTGGCTATGTGGACTTGTGATGTATCCAGTTTTTTAGACACTTTGTCAAATATTGTGCTTGTGTTTGCTTGCGCTGAAATAAGGATGTGTTTGAAGCTTTAGAGAATTTAAACATAGATACTGAGGTCGCCCTTAAGCCTTGGCTTGTGCCTGTGTGAGAGTCTGCCTTTCAGGTCTCGTGGGAAGTTGAGCATAAGGATGACAATTTAGGCTCCTGTGGCATCGAGCAGAGCCAAGGGCACCCCTGAGCATGTGGGCAGGACAAAGAGAGGAGATGAACTCTAATGTGCACTTGTTTGGACACTGTGTACACAAAACTGTAGATTTTCTGGGGATTAGCGGTGTCTAAGGCAAATTTCATATCAACGTATCTCGGGACTTGTCAGTGTCTGCAGGCAGAATGGTACCTGTGACCATTAAAGATTCTTTATATCCTTAAAATTTGAGTGGCCTCTTAATTAATGAAGTGAAACAGAAAGAAAATCATTAACTGAATTTAAAAGGAAGCATAATTTGTATTTTAACTACAGAGACTTACCTGTCATTGATTAAGTCTCTCTCTCAGAGTTCCTATCTTTGCTCTTAGACTTTCAGTGTTGATACAGTGAAGATATATTGCCACACTGGTGCCTTAAAACAAAACCTACTCCAAACTTGGAGGAAACCAAACAGATTTGACTACATTCCTTGAGGATTCCAGGAGGTCTTACAAACAAACAATATCTACTTTAGTATCCTCACACCTGGTGAAGAATAACCTGCAGTGTTACTTACTGTATGGGTTTTAATTTCTTCTCTGAAATGCCTGATATGGGATGCAAAGTATGAAACCATTACAAAAGTATGATACCTCTGTCTTAATCTGGATGTAGTCACTACTGGTCAAAAAAGAGAGACTGCCCATGCAGACTTGCTCTATTCTGCTGGCATATGGCATCATGCCAGATGGAAGCAATTTTTATTAATTTTATAATATATGCATCATATCTGTGCAAAGCAACACAACATTGCCAGAGACTGCAGGAGGTGGTTTGAGCTATTATTTGGTGCCTTGTGAAAATGATTTTTTGAACAAAACTCTTTCAAGCTAGCAGGAAAACAGGCAATTGAGTTATCTTAATATGATTATGTATTCCTCCTAAAAACTAGACTTCTCTCGACAAGAAAAGAGAAAAATATAATAATCTTTGTAATTTGTAGATAGTAAGAGAATAATTTGCATTTTGCTGGTTTAGAATGTTTAGAATTTAAATTGAATAAAATTTCTGTAAGTCTCCTTGGGCTCAGTATAAACTGAAGAAGTTAATTAATTTTACTTAGAATTTTTGTTGAAGAATCTTAAAGCACTTCAGAAGGAGCAGGTGCTGAATGACTTTCTATGAGAGAATGGTATTCAGTCAGCTGAGGATCCATAAATATGCACAAAGTATATTTGCAGTTGCTTATATGAACAACTACTTTTCAGTATGTGAACTATGGAAATTTTTATTCAAATTGCTATGATTACTACATTCCTTTTTTTCCCCACTGCAGTTTTACCTGAAATTTTCATAGTATTGAACTTTTCCCGCACTTTCTCTACAGAATAGATTAAATTATTCTAGAATAAATAATTCAGTTGTGATAAAGGGAAGATAGGACAAAGGGACTGCAAGACCCTCCAGCATCCACTTAATTTTAAAATGGAGTCTGTAGAAAGACTGTGAAGATGTGAAACTAAACGTAGCACATTCCTTATTTTCTCACCTTGAAATTTTAGTATTGTAAGTTATTTTTATGGCAGTGTAATTTCTCTAAATCTTGCAAAATAATAAACTTCTTGTGGGAGACAGACATGAAAGTTTTTTGTCCTTCAAGGGTTTTTAAATGAAAATTTCTAAATACATAATCTTTCTGATTAGACATGAGAAAGCCATTACTGTACTTAACTTATGTATGAATGAAGTTGTTGATATGCCTGAAAACTCACTGAATGTTAAGAGTAAAAATACAAGCAAATATTTACCATACAATGTAGACAGATATAGGTATCTGCAATAGCTACCTGACTTATTTTAAGTTGAGGCTTACAGGTTCTGATTCTGATTTATTTCAAGAACACATTATAGTTTGCAAAGTCTGCTTGGGACTGTGCTTTTAGGCCACTATTGTTCTTCTCTTCCAAGTAGAACAGTAAACCAATCTCTGACTCTCAGTAATATATGCATCATGAGCACCAAAGGCTTTCCTTAATGGAATGCCTGTAAATAAACTCTGGCACTTTAATACTTCTGACTTTACACAACAGTGAAAATTAATTCAGTATTTCTTTTACCTACATCCATTTTTTTGATCATTGAAGCTCTTAAAATCCCTCTTTTAAATCAGAACTTTGAGTGCAAGTAGTTGAAAATATGTAATAAGTGTTATGGATTATTAATATTTAGGAGATGAGTGATCCTCCCAGGAAAAAGTGAAACCCCTTTTCCTGTATGCCAGCTGACCATGAACAGCCTTACAGTCTCCTTATGCACACCTATTAAGTTCATAACAAAGAAAATCTTCCTCTGAGTCACTTGAAATTACTATATTTTTTAAAAGTTGCTATTCATACATATCAAATATTTACCTAATTCAAAACACCGATTGCCACTACACAGTTTCACAAGAAAAACAAATAATTTGAAGTCACAATCACTGTATAAACCACAAAAACTATTAGCATGGGGAAGTAACATCTGGTAGCACCAATAAAAACAGGTATTGAAACATAAACTCTCCCTTAACTTCTCCTCCCCTCCGCCAAGCAGGCAGCTGCCATGAATCTGGATAACACACCATACAAAAAGGAGACCACAGTGTCGTTGCATTCATGTTAAAACCATCTCTTCATTCAAAATATTGACAGGGGCAGTTGTAGTCACAGAGGAAACCCTTAGGCTTGGCTGGACTCACACGGAATGGCTGGTCACCAGCATCACAGGAAATTTTTTATGGTATCACATACTAGATCGGACAACTGGCAGAAAGAGGGAATTATCTTATGGTAAGTTAGGTATGCCAGTTAGTGTAGCCAGAATAAGAGCTGGACAGACAGTTATGGTTTAGAGCTCATTGCAGACAATGGCATGCCAATACTGTGCTAAGTTTTGCAGAACTGGTAACTCAAATCCAGAAAATGTCCCAGCCGTGGATGGCAGCTCTGAATGTGAGGGATACATTTTTTTATGGAAAGGGCATATTTGTACATCCATATTTGTACATCCACTTCTGGAACATGACCAAGCAGAATCTGTGCTTGCCTGGAGGAGAGTGCCACACCTCTTTAGCAGACTTCCACGGGACTATAAGTGTTCACCCATGATTGCACCCACTGCACTTGCTGACTTCTTAGGAACAGTCTCACTTTCTCTGGATATTTGGATAGGAGGAGAACCCCCTGAAACTGTAGGGCAGCTGCAACAGCCACATGGCAAGCACTTTGTGATGTGGAAGCTGAGATTCCACCTGAATCCCAAAGCCCTCTTTTTATTTAGCACTGCTGGCTGCATTTTCAACTCAGTGTATTTCCTTTCTTTTCTGTTTCACAGGAACGTCAAATGAACTGCACATGGATGAATTAGCCTGCACCAACCTTGAAATGTATACAAGGAATTTTTTAGGGCAGCAGCAATTATTGTAATAAATTGCTCTTGAATGAAATTTAAAGATTGTTCTTATGTCTATATCCTTGAAGAAAAAGGACAGGGTGGCAATCTGTTTTGAGGTGTAGAAAATTCTGGGTCTGATAGTTTAATAGCTTTAGAAAGTCAGTAAATCTTTGAGTATGGCTTTCAAACAGGAAAAAATAAAAGTTCTGCAAATTTTAATAGCTAAATTATTAGAAAATTATTTTTGTTTATGCTGACTATAAATTTTAGAAATTTATTTCAAAAATAAATATAGCATGGTATGTAATTTACTTGGTGAGAAGCCACCTGCACCAATGACTAATTGTTCATCAGCATGCACTTAAGCTAATAACAAAGTGAGGGGAACTGAATTTTCCCTACTTAAGAATAACAATGAGGTTGATTGATGGATTATTTACCCTGTCTGCAGTTCTGGCATCCATCTGAACATGGTATGCAGTCTTCAGAGTCAGGATCTTCGACTTCACCTGTGTTTTGCAAATCATCAGTTTAATTCTAGATAATGCAACATTTGGAAGCACTCAGCAAGGTTCCTGGAAATAAACTTGATTCAAATAAAAAAACCAGAAAGACTCATGGAAATTTGTTTTCTCATTTGTTTTTGCATAACCCACTAAATTTGAGGAAAACACTCTTACTTTACCAGAACATGATACTAGAAGAGGGTCAGAGCTGGAATTTGAGGACCTCAGGCCACAGTCTGAAGACTGTGTATATCAAAACATTTTTTAATATGCTTATGCAGCTTTCTGTAACAATTTCAATAAAGTATTTGTTATCTCTTACTGAAAGATGCTTACCTTCTCTACAAGTATGCTTCTGACACACATTTTGAGTAAGGTAGTAGCCTCTGAAACACCTTTTGCAGTGGCTGGAGTTCAGGCACATCTCACAGTGGGCAGGGCAAAGCACACAGGTATGCTTCAAGTGGTAGTGACCTGGAGGACAGTTGTCTCTGCACTCCCCATGATACAGGAAACGTTCCACCCCTCTTCTGTCTGTGTGGCAAACAAATGGGAAAAATTTGTCAGGCACAGAGGGCATTTGGGGTCTGTAGTCCTGCACTAGAGATGCTGACTAAATTTTACAGTTTATTTTACAGTAAATTTTACACCAAATGAGATGTATAAAAGTTTCAGGATCTTTTCACATTCCTGGGGATTTATGGCATGTAAAATGTCAAGCTAGAGAACAATTACTCTTTACATCCATCAATCTAATTAAAAAAAACCCTAGATTTTTCCATCACTGAATTCTCTTGCAGAGGACAAACAAGTATTTGTAATGCATTGTACATGCAAACGTACAATTATTATTTGTAAAGCAAAATGGCCCACTTCACCTTTGGAAAGAGTCAATCTGTCCCTAGAAGATTAAACTGTAATCCTTAACTCAGTGAAATCATCTAGATTTGAATTTAAATAGCAGATGTGCAGCACTAGCTATTAAAGCACAAACATTTTCTAATGCATGAGAACTGGGAGGTCTCCTCCTCCAAGTCCTGCTGAGTCAAGCCTGTGAAAACACATATAACTTCGTGCGCAGCATGGGGAAATTTCTAATCAGTTGCCCTACAGTAGAAATTACATATATAACTGTGTTAAGTGTATTTCATTGCCTTAACTGCAGACCAAGAATTTGCTTATCAGAATATATTTTTGAAAATGCAGAGAAAGGAGCTTTACTAGTCAATAATGATGTACCATAAAACAAATTTAATTTTATTTATTTTACTTTTCATGCACAAATCTTTAATTTTCTGGCCTCCTTAGGGTGCGAGTCTCATCAGCATCTTAATTTCCTGATTCACAGAAATTCAGAAATATGTCTTGCTGTCCTCCATAAGGGAGAGACTTGGGGAACAATAATACAGACTTGGTCTCACATTAGACCTGAAGTTCCATTTGAAAACTTCATATACTGAGTCACATTTCCCAAAGTGAGAAAGTCAGTCTTATCATCAGTATGACTAATTAATGCCATACTAGTGTTTCCTTGCAGTTTACATTCTTATTACTAAATAAAGTCTATGCTATTGTTGATTAGGACTGAAATGGAAGTAGCAGCTGAAATGAAAAGGCTGTGAATCCATTGTGAACCCTCAGAACACAGCTCATAAAAAATTAGTCTTTATTATAAATTACATATTAAATACTCATTTCCAAGGACAGTTCAGACTAGTTGCACAGTTCAGACTAGTTGCACATACTTGCTGGTAATAGCTTCAGGTTTTTGCTTATCAAATATTAGAGAGACAATAAGAAATAATTTTTAAAACTTAATTTCCAAAGGAGAAGAGGTTTTTTTTTTGGAATTTCTACAAAATTAGCTACATTAGCCCTCCTCTCAGTGTAAGATCTATAAAAATATGTGTTGGTGATAAGCTTCTCTTTGAAAACCCTGTTTGTTCTACTCTAGGGACTCAACAATCTGCTCTGTGTTCCTCCAGTGGAACCCACCACACTTATTTTTTAGCCTTTCCCAGAGAGATGCTTAGGAAAGCAGCCTGGCTCCCTACCTGCTTGAGCAAACTGGCTCCATTTCAGTATAGCACATCCTGTGCAGTGGGTGGGGGAAACATGTATGGAACTTTCTTTTCCAGAAGCAGGCTATGAAGGTTTTCTGGGTTTTTGTTTTGTTTTGTTTTGGGTTTTTTTTTTTTTTTTGTTTGTTTGGTTTGGTTTTTTTTTCTTGTTTCAGTTTCAGTTAACATAGCTCCTATTGAAAAAAACACCAAGGGAAATGCATGAACTTGAAAGGACAATACAGAGATGTGTTTTCCTCTACTTAAAAAAAAATTGAGTTCAATTCACTTCAGAGCCACAAGAGGATTATGATACAGATTGGTAGTAAAAGCACTACTCATTTTATTGGATCTAACAACTAGCCCTTAAGAGCTGAGGGAAAAAGGAATTTGAAGGCCAAGGGAGGGGGGAAAGCTGGCAAAATGAAATCTTGCTTACCTGTTCCGCAAGTGGTGCATTTGTTAGGTTCACTTCCACTGCAGTCCAGGCAGGTGTGATGGCACAAGTGACAGTGCTGTTTGAATTCAAACTTTCCCCTGGGACATTGCATAACACAGCGGCCATCATCAAAGACACTTTTAAAGAAGACAGAGGCATGATTACAAATTTAGCTACTGTTTGTTCATTAAATCTGAAGGAAACTAAAAAGAAACTCAATAAATTTTTCTCTCATTCTATTTACAATCCTTGAACTTCAAGACTTTGTTTTTCTGATCTTATTCATAGTATTTACTATATGAAAAATGTTTTAAACATGAATCTTAGACTTCAAAGACCACTTTTTGGTCCTTTACCCAGCTGTCCTTATATCACAATCTCTGACAGTGGTCCCATGTGTCTTCTAAAAGGAAAGTAATACTTGATCTTTGTCAAGGACTAACCCATCTGTTTTACTTTTAATATTTTTAAGCCTTTAGAAAGTACTATGGCGTCAGTAATACAATCTTGTACATGAAGTCATATGTCTATCTGAATATTCAGCCCTCAGGAGTTCTGTTTTTAGACTTACATGTTGTTGAGTCTTAGGAATGGTATTTAGCAATTTAGTTTTCCCACTGAAAAACTCCTAACCATGCTCAACTGCCCGTCCTCCCTCTGCCTCCTCTGCTGGGGATGGAGAGGAGAATTGGATGGACAAAAGGTAAAGATCACCAGCTGAGATAAGAACAATATACTGGAAACAGCAAAGAAATAAGAAAATGAACAGCTACAGAATCAATTATAAAGCTCACAGCAGCTGAGCAATTCTCATGCCAGTGCTCACAACTGTACCACCCCTGACAACACCTGACTGGCCATGCCGTGCCTGGAAAGGGACCCCTTCTCGCACCCCTGGAGCTAAGAGTGCAGCAGTTTAGAAGAACTTCCAACTCCTAGCCCTGCCTCTCCTGACTGCAGAAATTAACTCTGTCCTGGCTGGAACCAGGACATGATTCATCTCTGTATCATCTGTGACTTGCCCATCTGACACCTTCCGGTTACACACACACACACACACACACACACACACACACACACACACACACACACGTGTGTGTGTATACATGCACGAGCACAGGTATAATTTCCATAGTCAACGGCTGTCCCTCCAACATGTCTGTTAAATTCATCGAGTCCAAGACTGTGGGTTTTGCCCATCCTAGACCTTCCAGGACAGGAGGGCTGGTGTGCTGTCAGCTGGCTGCTACGTGAGGAACTCACAATTAGTATATCTGGTACTGGCTATACTTGTTGTCCCTGGTAGTTATGGAATACTCTGTGTGTATGTAGTGTCATTCAGCAACAAATATTATACAATTCAACATTACAGACTGTTCTTACACAAAAAATTAAATCCCCTTGTGGAACACATCGTGTATCCCTGGCCCTCTATCCTCCAAGTCCACCAGGTCCCACGGATGGATTTTCCTTTGCTTGAGGCAGGACTATTCAACCTATCTTCCATAACATTCCTCATATGCACCACGGAGACTATATCCCCTTCTACAGTATATGGGTTTTGTTTAGGCAGGATGAGCTAAACTGGTACAGGCACAGGTGTTAATTAACCATGTGGCCTTTGCTTTTTACCTGTGTTGCCACTGATCTTTTTCCATTGATCTAACCACCTCCACAGAGAGTTTGCTATCATTCATTGAGTCAGTGTAAACATAGAGAGAGTGCTGGCCATTTCTCTCATTAAACGATATCTACAGCCAGCTGAATTGCTTTCAGCTCTGCAATTTGACATGATCTACCTCAATATCTTCTGTGACTTGCTGTGTAGAACTCCCTACAGTAGCTTTCCACTTTCAATGTATCCCTACAGTATGGCAGAAAAAATCAGTAGAGAGATTATAATACTTTTCATTTTCTTTCAGCCAATTATATTGTGGGACATCTTCAGCCTCTCACTTTCTCCTTCTCTGATGATGAAGTTTTCACTTTGGGCCAGTTCACGATGGCTTCCAAGATCTCTAGGCAATTGTGGTTTCCTGAGGTCACAATGTGATTGGTACAATCCACGTATTCCATGTAGAATGGTGGATGATATGTGGAAGGGACTTCTCTTTGAAATCCAGACATTTGCTGGTAGTCAGAATGCTGAGAGGAGCTGTGTTTCTTTTAAAACAGCTCGAACCTCTTCATAAGCTGTCAGCATGTCCTTTCCAGTTGGGGTGTAGCACACTTCAGATCTGCTGTGTCCCTGACTCCAGAACCCTGGTGGTTGTCCTCTACTCTCCCCTGAAGATGTTTGCCAGAGACATCAGGAAGGACCATTCTCCCTGGCTGCAGTGTAGACCACATTTTTTACAACCTGTCCTGTCCTGACTGGCCCAGGGGCTACTGCATAAATCTCCTATTTAATTTACTCAAAAGCTTGTAGCTATTCAAGACCTCTAAAAACCATTCTTCTTTCCTGCCCCATGATAGAGAGGATGTGTAATCTGATTTTAATCTGGAATACACATGCTCCAAAACTCCACAGCACTTAGGGAAAGCTCACGGGGT